AGAGAGATATCGGTAGTGTGAGCGACACTGCGACCGCTTCGCATCATCAATTAGCCGAGCTGAAGTGGCGTGCCTCACAGGGAGAAATAAATGACTGTGCCCTTATTGAGCGCAGCAAGGCATATAGCATTTCAGGCCAGTAATGTCATTGTGCCTTTGTACCAGCGTTATTGATGAAGTCTGTCTCAAAGAAAATAATCCCTCGGCACGCCACCATTTGAGACTTCTCATTCCGTCTGAAAGATCAATGTAAGCGATCTTCGGGACGGAAAATGTGCTGGGAGAACGAAACGCATCGAGCGTGAGTGCGGGCTGGGGTGTGGACAGCGTGGCCACAGCGGAGCGCTGCAGCAGAGAGAGGGTGAGATCAAAGCGGAGCGCTGCTTCACTGGAGCGCAGCACTGGGAGACTAGAGCGCAGCGGTCTCACCTGCCGCAAAACCTCCCCCTCTCTACATCTGCTGCACCTCACCCCTTCGCTAGGCTAATGTCCTCTCCTGCACACGCAGACCTGCTGAAGAATATCAATCAGCCTCGCGCCCCAATTTATAGCAGCTCGTTCTTTTAAATGTAGCTTCGCAATTCCCCAGATACTGTGTGCCTGGTTATATGCGCACGTACAGGCTTGTTCCTTGTTGCCACGGAGGTTGTATCTAAGAATTGAGAGATGTTATGCGCCATCAGCAGTCGGCGTTTATGTTTAAGTCCGCCATAAAGCAGCTTAAAGCCTATCGTGCTGGTGCAAACATGCACTTCAATCTTATTTAGGTCTTATTCGGGCTCTCGGAGAGGAGCTTTAGAGCTGATTTACCTGCGTCCTCACAAACACACACACCTCACGTCTTTCGCCTAGTATCACATACTCTAATGCACAGACAAAAATCGATCACAGGGAGAGGGCTCTCACCATGCCATTCCCAGCACCCTCTCTGAACAGCTCTTATTTCAGACCCCTGAGGTGTGATGCCTTGGGCACCGCTGGCACAGATGAAATGGGCACCAGGCACTTCACTGCAGGGAGGGCAGGTTTGCTTTTTCGCTCCCCTTAGCGTCACCATGCCAACGGTGGCAGGTTTCCGCATTTAAAGGGCACTCTCTGCAGCCTCTTAATAGAGGAAGCAGCAAAATAACTCAATGTATTCGGGAGGGAAAGCGTTGAGCGCAATACTAAGCTAATTGGAGGATTTGTGTCTTCTGCGCAAGTCATTCTAAAGTATCGCCTGCTTCCGCAGTCATTATCACATTGTTGATATTATGACTCATGATTTTTGAATGATGAGGTTGTCAGTAAAAAGAGTTATGTGGAACATCGCCACATTTGAAAAGGTCTTACGTAATCTTTTATCACATAATATGTATAAGCAGTCATATCTTTTTTTCAGTGACTACTGACAAATTGTGTATACAGTAAACTCTTCAAAAAATGTGTAAGTACAATTTAAAACTGATTTGTGTGAAGTGTTGTCCTGCAAAATAGAAACAGCAAATGAGAACTATATGGTGTAGATGGAAATGCTTACTGCAAACTATTGAAAATTGTACATGGGATATTTTAACTGAATTGGAAAATACATGAAATTGATTCATTTGTAATTAAAAAAAGCTATAATAGTGTACTCTTTATTGACCTTTCCTTTTGTCTTGTAATAGATATGCGGTAACACTTTAGTATAGGGACTAATTCTCACAAGTTGCTTATTAGTATGCCTATTATTAACATATTGTATGTTTATTAGTAAGATACTTATAAAGCACATATTCTGTATGACCATATTCTACATCCAACTACCTTACTAACTATTAATAAGCAGCAATTTTTATTGAAGCAAAAAAAGTTGATTGAAGCAAAAGTCGTAGTTAACAGTTTGTTAATAGCGAGAATTGGACCTTAAAATAAAGTGTGACCAGATATGCTTATTTACTCCATTTTTTCAAGGTAAATCGGTGAGCAAAACAACAACACTTGAAATACCGTGAAGAAGAACAGAATGTTCTAGACATTCCAGGTGTCTATTGCAGATAATGCCTTCCACCCTTTATTTTCTGGAGACTGCTGTTTCTCTGTATGGTTCTGTTCTTTCAAAGGTCAGTAAAAAGCCGCAGTGATGTCAATCAAAATGACATCTCTGAGAGATAGGCCTCACGCCTGGCCAATACAGAAAGTCCAGTTGAAAGCTTCGGATCTGATTAGCATCTTTCAGTCCACTGTGAACCATGCAAAGCCATATGAGCCATCTCTGGAAAACCTTATATAATAATATTTTTTAACCCCAAATCATCTCTAGAACATGCTATTTGCCTTTGGATTCAGGTTGTAAAGTACGTTTTTACTAAATGAATGCATCTAACTTGTATGTGTGTGCAGTTCTTGCAGGAAACAGATTAAATTTGATCCTCAAATTCAGTTCATGTCCTTAACGGACTGCGCAGAAATTGAATCGACCCCCTACCCTGACCTTCACTCCCACCCTCTTTTCCTTCTTCCTTGGCATCTTCTTTCCTGACTCAATGTTTGCTCTGGTTGAAAGCTCCTTATGTGCAAATTGTCTTTCTTGCGCCTTGTGCCCCTCAATCTCATAACTAAGCTGTTTTATGAAGGATTCGGAAAATGCCAGAGAGCTGGTTTATTGATTTATTATTTCTCAAATCCATCAGTGTGAGAGTATTCCTTCACCTTTTTTCTAAAGCAGGGAATTTGTATTAATACAGATCTTGACTGCATGTGCTCCAAACAATATGAAGCCTTCATAGGAATCCTCCAAATCAAATTAGAACGTCATAAGTGACTGTAGTGGACATAAACAAACGCTAAAAGAATAGAACTAAAGTACTTTTCAGTACTAAATAATAAATTAGAGTTACAAATGATATTTCTTTCAGATATTTTCACTTCTTTCATATGTTTCAGAAATTTTTTATATTTTTAAGAGACCTTTCAACATTCCCTGCATAATCCATAGGAAATGCATAATTGAGACATGATTGCCCAATGCTCAATCTGAGAGCGACAGTGAAACCTGCCTCCAGAGGTAATGTAATCAAGGAAAGGTTATTGACTGCATTTGAGATAAACACACATGCAGACATAACAGAGCGTATTTATACATGCAGTCACTCTACCATTAATGAATGATTGCATTTTGTAGTGAAAAATCTCATGGGGAATTCTGCCTTAAAGTACGTAGAAGCTCATTGAGCTCACAGCTGGCTTAAACATATTCCTCCACAGTCTCTGTTTCTGCATCAAAAAGCCTCAAAAATACAACATGAAGAAGAAACACTGCAAACAGCACCTATGAATCAAGTAAACAGGAATAGAATTTTACCAACATATCTGTTTTTTAAAGTTGGCATCCATTCACACCTACTTTGTAGAACTACAGAAACTAAGTTTGAGAAATATAGCCATAGATTTGGACTCATTTTGGATATGGGCCAGTCCATGCTGCTACAGTAATGGTTAGTTCTACAGTAAGAGTATCTTTGTCATTATTGGGCACCCCAGGAGACAAATTCTGCCCTCTCAGCAGACCTAGAAAACTTACTGTACCTTTTAGACCATGCTCTCAACAGATCTGTGGCTGTGTCAGCAACACAGCCACACACACGTCTTTAATCAGCTGCACACAGTGGATGCCATGCAGTATGTTCAAGCAAGATGATCTGAATGCCAATGATTCCAGAAAAAAGTCTTTGTGTTGGAACAAATTTAATGTTTAACTTAAACATATGAATGCAGTTGCAATAATATGCGGAAGGGAAAGCAGGATCAGTCATGTCACTTGCTCACTCTGGCCAGCTTGTACATTCCACCACATACTGTATGCATTTTTTTAAGGCTTAAAGCATAGATCCCGAGTGGTCCTATTTGGGTCACTGTGTAAACAAGCAAAGCAGCAAACAAGCACAACTGAAGCAGTAGTGGATGGTGGGGCCTCTCGGGAGGCTGCTAAGAGGGGAGCACGTTGCTCTTGGGCCTGATGGCTTCAGACAGTGTGCTAGTGAGATGAATAATGTGTGTGTCTGATGGGACTGGGCAGCCATCCCTCGACAGGCCTACAGCACTGGAGTGGAGAAATAGAACAGCCTCCATCTATGCCTACAAAACACACACTTGCTACTTTGAACTCACTGCTGAGAGAAAAGAATATTACCAAAAAATCGCATTGCCAACTGTATCAAATTACTGGGCAAGATATATGCAAATAGCGCAGATCAAAAACAAAGTAACACCAATAATAGAATCCTTTTATTGCACATGCACAATATTGAATATAATGCTGGTTTATTTTAATATAACACTTCATGAACCAATAATAAAATGCTTTGTTTGTTTGTATACATGGTCCTCATGAACACATCTTTTAAAACCATTGTGTGTTTAAGAAAATTAATAATAATAATAATAATAATAGTAATAATAATAAGGTCGTACTTTATTTTAAGGTCCAGTTCTCGCTATTAATAAACTCCTAATTTGCTGCTTATTAATAGTTAGTAATGTAGTTGTTAAGTTTAGGTGTTGGGTAGGATTAGGGATGTAGAATATGGTCATGCAGAATATGGGCTTTATAAGTATGCAAACAGCCAATATGTTAATAATAGGCATGCTAATAAGCAACTAGTTAATAGTGAGAATTGGTCCCAATACTAAAGTGTTACCTAATAATAATACTGTAGCTGCACCTATCATAGGTATTTACCACAGAGGATGCTACCACCAACATGTAGACTAGAAAGGCTCAGATTCCTAGATTAAATAAAATACAACAATGATTGATTGCAGCTGCAGTAAGGGAGAGTAAAATGTTATAGTCTCACTGAGAGATATATGATTTGATTTTATGAATGACAGAGTGTGTGTATATTCTAATATGATTTGTTTTAGGACAAACACAGCAATGAATTCAAATTAATTGAATGAGAGAATGATCACTGATAAGAAAAATAAACCACTAAGCACAGCCTCTCTCTTTCTATTTGTTCTCTCTCTTTCCAAAGAGCCCCCTAGCTGGAGTCATGCAGTCCTTCAGAGAGCGGAGTGGTTTCCATGGCAACCAGCACTGCTACCAGCAGGAACCTCAAGAATTATCACGCCTTGAGAGTTATAGACATCATCACAGCCAGTCCAGACAGGGCTACGAGCCACACTCTCTAGCTGCTGCAGAGATGTCAACATCGGGAGCGGGTTCTAAAGACTGTTATGGACAGCAGACCTATCCTATCTACACCAGCACCAGTGCTAATCAGACTAAAAAACCTTATAGAGGAGCCAAAACTCCAAACCAGCATCTGCAGGCTGGCTACAGCAATCACATGGGCACTGGATACACAGCCCAGTACATGAGTGAAGGTCACTTGCAGCAAAAATGGGATGAGTCACCTCAGATGACCCAGTTTGAGCAGGACATGGTGGGACGGCTGGAGTCTGGGGTCAGTGGGTCATCCCAGTACCTAGAGCAGAACATGCTAGCTCAAAGTCTCTCTCAAAGTCAGTGCCATCTACCTTCGCAGTCCTCTGCCCCAACCTATACAAGTCCTCATCAACAGGGCCTCCCACCCAACCCAGCACCATCTCCTTTAATGTATCCACAGGGTCACCTCAATTTCCCCCAGCACTCGCAACACCCGTCTTCATCTTCGTCATCTTATATGGAGAAATGTAATGCAATGCCGCATGGCTATAAAGGCTATGGTATACCACCTAATGCCCAGTATGGAAGACATCTTGGCAATCACAGCAGTCTAAAGCAGAGTGGATACAGACCTCAGAATAATTACGGTTATCAGCAAACTCCATCAAGGTCTGGATTTGAACAGGGCTCCCTGCAAGGAATGTCTGGTACACAAGAGAACCTTCAGAAATTCCAGCACTACAATCAGCCCCAGCAAAACTACTGCATAACAGATATTTCTGTAAGGTCACCAGAACAATACTATCAGAACTGCAGTCCAAGCTCTAGTCATTCACCTGCAAGGTCTGTGGGAAGGTCTCCCTCATACAATTCCACACCTTCCCCCTTAATGCCAAACCCTGATTCATTCCAGTATGGCCAACCTCCCATCAACCCCGGGGCTTCATCATCCACAGGTCTGCAAGACCAAAATATGCTGATGCCTCCTCATACTCATTCATCACCCAGTGTGAACCACCAGTCCCAGAGCTATTCTGGCTCCATGAAAGAACGATTTTCGGAAAAGCTCTTGTCCAACCCCAGTTTGTGGAGCCTCAATGCCCTGACGTCTCAAGTTGAAAACATCTCAAACAATGTCCAGCAGCTGCTGGTGTCCGAGGCCCTTATGGCTAACAAAAAGACCAGCAAGCGAAATCATCCAAAAAAGGGAGAAGACTATAGAGGTCAGTTAAAGGGTATGGAAGAGTCATCTTGTCCTGATAACCAACATGGTCCTCCTCCATCCGATGCTTACACCATTTCAAGGTCCATGACAGCAGAACTGCAGGAGGGAGGATACTCTAGCAGCACTGAGGACCAGATGGACAGGAGCTACTACTATTTTGGTCAGGAAAAAGGTCAAGCACAAACCCAGACACACTCACGTCTCAGCCTTGACACAGTGTCTACTTGCTCATTAAACTCAGCTGACGATATATCCGTTAGGTCAGGTGACTCAGCTCGAAGTCTCCAGAGTGTAGTGTCTGAGGATAATCTCAACTGTGACCCAAGAGTACAGAGAGTACTGACTGGAGAGGAGCCCAACAGCTCTCTCCGTTGCATTAGAGATGAGAGGTCTCCTATCAGTGTAACAGCTCCAAGTCCTATGAAACAAGAGAGCAATTCACCACCAGACATAAAGCATTCAGAGAGCACTCTAAAGGAGAACTTTGAGGAGTCAGCATGGACTGAGAGGATGGCTAATGAGGAGGAAATTGGACAAAGAAAGCTGTCTGCAGAGCATGAGTGCAAAGGAGAGGTTGCGGAAAAGCAAGAGACGTGGCTGGAGGATGAGAAAAGTCCTTCTCTTTTTCATAAAATAAACAAAGCAGTATTAGAGGAAGCATACTCTTATGAAACAGAAGAAAATATCTACCAAGGGCTGCAAAACAAATTTGACTCAGAAAAAGAAAACTCGTCAGAGATGGACTGTTTTTCTGAACTTAACCACAAATGTAATGAAGGCACAGAAATAAAATCAGAACATTTCAAATCAGAACCACAGACCAATGCTGAAATGCTTGTGAAAACATCACCCAGCGATTCAGGCACTGATCTGTATTTGCCGGAGAAAGAAGAAAATTCAAAGAGTGAGGATTCCATAGAGAACCTCACATGCACTGATGAACCAGTGGACACCCTTGAGGAGCAGCCGTCTGTCCTCTCCCATAATTCCACTGAGGTGAGAGATGAAAAGGAGAGTTTGACAACCTCAGTGGAGGTCGTTAATAATAGAGCAAGACCACAAGAGTCCTTTGCAGAAGTCTGCAGTACATTTGAGGAAATGGGAAACATGCCACAAGTCAACACAGAAACTGCAGAATGCTTTGCCCAGGACACACAACAAAGAGACAACGATAGGAGGTCAGCCACATGTGACATTGCACCTCAGCCTCACACTGCCAAGAGTGGCTTCTCAGCTCTCAATGAGAAAACAACACCTTTGGCTCAGGCTAGGGATCATCACATCGATCGTAGTGATGCAAAGGTACTGGAGCCTGACTCTCCTCAGTTGCCGGGCAAGTCAATACTGCACTCTGCACCATCTTGGGCTGACACCCCACCCTCTCCCAAGAAAGGGGATGAGGATATGGAACCGGGAATAAACTGTCCCAGTGCAGTGACTCCCTCAGCCAAACCAGAGCCTATGGCCCCATCTGCACATACAAGAATGTTCGGTAAGAAACATGCACGGGGCAGGAGAAGACTAATGCATTCAAGTGTGGGAATCAGAAGGCAGCTAAGTGTAGAAGGAGACATTGCTCCACCTTCTGCCCAAAATCCCAGTATGCCCTCCAGCAAAAGCACCCTTATTCTTGACCAGATGGAAACTGCCCACCAGGATATTAGCAGTCAAACACCAAAACTTGTGACAGAGAGTTTACCATCACGGATGTGCACTCGCTCCTACGGTTCACAAAGTAGCCCAAAAGTCTGCCCTCAAGAGAGAAAGAAACCAGGTCCAAAGCCTGGTCCAAAACCAGGTGTGAAGCCAGGGCCAAAACCAGGTCCAAAGCCTGGTCCAAAATCAAATCTAAAACCTGGACCGAAGCCTAGTCCAAAATCAATTTCAAAACCTGGTCCAAAACCAGGACTTAAACCTGACGTTATGCCCAGTGTAAAACCTGGTCCCAAACCAAGTTTAAAATGCACTGGACCCACAGAAAACGCAAAGCCTGGTCCAAAATCTGCTTTAAAGCCAGGTACTAAACCTGGTCCTAAATCTGTTTCTAAACTAGGCTCAAATCCTGCAGCTTTAGCAAGAGAAATACTTGTTCCAAAGCCAAGTCAAACCACCGCAGAGTCAAAGACAATTGAGGGCTCAGTACCTAAAGGACCAGGCCGACCAAGAGGAATCACCTCTAAGATCAAATCAATAAAGCGAGATGAAAATGTTCAGATTACAAAAGACCATACCAAGGACACACACCGTACACATGAACTTATTTTGCAAGACGTGACCACAGCATTAACTTTGGACACACTTGTTGGTGCTGTGGACACCACTAAGGATGAAACTGTGGGTTCCACTTTGGAATCTACTCTAGACAGCAGTTGTGTGAAGTCCTTAGCAAGAGATCAAAAGTCCATGGTGCTGAGATCACGGAAACAAACCAGAGAAAAGCTGACTGAAGTTAAAGAGCAAGAGAATGATAAATCAACTGAGACACCTTCAGCAATGTTCATACACTCACAAATACAGGATGCTACTGTGGATCAGTCATGTAAGACTGAATCTTCAAATCTTGAATTACCTAAGCAGAAGGATATTTCTACAGATTCACTTCAACAACCAAATGAAGAGGTGGTTTGCCTCAAAAGAAAATCCAGTTTAATGTCCTCAGAAACCAAAAAGAGAAAGAAAGGTGTGCAAGAAAGTGAAGTGAAGACACAGGAGCCTCCATCAGATACAGTCACAGGAGTCCGTATTGCAAAGAGAAAGCGAAAGAGAGGACAACACTTGCAAGCAGAATCTGAAAGCGCCACTGTGACCACTGATAACCCTCCCACTGATGATGTCAGTGACATGCCTTCTGTACCTCCTCAGTGTCCCACTAAAACCAAATATTTGCCTCCTCGGAAAGGCAGGGGACTTAAATATGAGGCAATGGTTCAGAAAATCACATCCCCAGGGTCCAAAAAGCAACCTGTAAATATCCAACCAGATACTGTACCAGAAGAATCAACATTAAAGCCAGTGCCACAGGTATCGGAGCAGAAAGAGACAATGAATGCCCCTGAGGTGACTCACGAGGTGGGCGAGAGTACAATAAGAACACAAGAGACCCAAAATACAGGAATTCAAACTCCAAGGAAAAAGAGGAGAAAGTGGGCCACTGTAGAGAGCAGTGATGCACCAGATGTAGCCCTGGAGGCCGGGAGCCTCGTTATCAACACACCAAGGCTAGCCAAACAGAGAGCCATTAAAAACAACCATGAGATGCATCTGAAGCAACGAAAGAGGAGAAGAAAAGGCATTGAACCACCAGAAAGCATCCCCATTGTGGAGCAACAGGAGCCTATACAGACTGATGTTTTGCCCCCTCCTCCACCCACCTTCTCTTTACCAGGTGAACAGACACAGTATGAGGAGCCACCAACAGAATTATGCTTACCACTAATAAAACCCAAACGAGGCAGGCGGCCATCACTCAAACTCAAACAGGACGAACTCTCAAGTCAAACAAATGACAAAGTAAAGGAGAAAAAAAAGCCTGGGCCAAAAAAAAGGGTTATGAATGTCCTCAGAGTTGTAGTGAGGAGGCCTAACATAAAGACAAAATGCAGCAATGATCTCTGCCCAACAGTGAAAGGAACATTATCAGACTTGTATTCAGCAGTGAGTAACGACAAATGTTCTTTTAGACCATATGTACACATTGACAGCTCTTTGGAGCCAGCATCTCTTTGTACCATTGTCAACAGGCCTGAGGAAGAGCAGATGCTCAGCCAGGTAAGAAAAAAGAGTGCAGCTAAAATGAAAAATCTAGTCACAGTTACCAAGGCAGTATCAAACTCCTCGGCAATGCTCCAGGGGCCCTTAGTTAACAAAAGCCTAATTGACAGGTGTCTAACGTGCTGCCTATGTGGAAAGCCAGCAAATTACAGAGAGCTTGGGGACTTGTGTGGCCCCTATTATCCTGAGGACTGCATACCACGAAAAATGCTGTCATCAACACACAGGAATGATTTCAGGCAAAACAGCAACTGTGCAAATGAGACAGAGGTCAGCTGCATCACAGAGCAAATGAACTCACAGGATGCATGTGAGAAGGATGCCTATCAGGAAGGGACAAGTGAAGGACACAGTGGGCATCCCAGGAGGGGGAAAAGGGCAATTAGGGAACAGATAAGAACCCGCCCCTCTTTGCGGATGAGGTTCAAAAGACTGCTGCTGTTGCAGAGAAAACTTAGTGGAACTTCTCCCTCTGCTGGTGAGGAGGGCAGTGGAACGGCTCTTCAGAGATTGCAGACGGAGGCTGAGGCGAAAGAGCACTGGGCTCATGAAGCTTGTGCTGTCTGGACCACAGGCATAATACTTGTAGGAGGCAAACTCTTTGGGCTGATGGAGGCTGTTCAGAAAGCTGCACATGCAGTAAGTGTTTCATTTAAATTAAATGCACTTCATTAATAACTTCCTGTACAGAGCAGATTTCAGAACATGTTTTGATGTTTGGAATAGCATACTCAGAAATAGCAATATACACCACACTGTATCCCACAATGTAATGTGCTTGACTCAAAAGAAAACAGAACAACTGTAATATCATGTGTGAGCTCTTTCTAAACACTGACAGAACACACACATAATTAGATTAAAAATAAAAATAACCACATTTCTGAGTTGAGGTTGATTTGATCTATATTTAAAAAAAAGAACCCAGTAATAATAATAATAGATACATTGACTCTAGTGGGTCTGGAATTGTATTAGTTATACTGTATTATTTGCAACTGGTGGTGGCTCAGGGGGCTGTCAGGGAAAGAGTCGATATTTTAGAGAGAAGCTCCTCAGGCTTTCTGTCTCATCACAGAAGTGCTCCAGGTGCCAAGGTGAAGGAGCTTCCATCTGCTGTAGCTGGAAGAGCTGTACTCAGAGGTACCATTATGTCTGCGCCAAAGAGATGGGTAAGAGTTCTGACACTTAGAAGTGTGCTCTGTGTTTTTGTACAATATTTCCTGTGCATCTAGTCACTCCACCCATGAAGCTCTGTTTAGCAACTAAGCAGGGTATGCAAGCATATGTAATTACTAGATTCCTCCTAGACTCATATACCATACTTTCAACTATTAACTTACTGAGCGGAAGGTTCTGACCAACAGGTTAAAACAACTAACAGCACTTTTATGTTTTTTTTTTTTGTGACATTTAGCTATAGGTAAATTTTGACACTGGTGCTACCAGAATAATTTTTCTATAAGGTACTTCACTTAATTATCCTTATGCGCATACATGACCATATCTAGTTTACCTACTATAATTCTTTTGACTAGTTGTTCCTTGGAAGCTCTTACTGCAGCTTCCAGGGAACTGGTTTGACTGATAAAAACCCGTGTACTCCAAATCCCAGAAGTTGCATAGAAATGGAACTGGCAGATATCGTCGGCTCTGGACAATATGCACCAGATGGTTCATGAATGCTCCATGGCATGTCATCCAAGGCTGAGACTAGTTCCCCTCCATCATGAATTTCTCTCTGCCATCAGAAATTGCCATCATAGAAAGTGGTGGTTACATCACTGGATATGGGTTAAGTCAGAAATGAGGGCGAACTGGCCTCGCTTTGCATTTCCAAAGGCATCTTCTAAATTCTACCTTTAATTCTTTGCCTTTCTTTCCTCTGTATCTTTTCCCAGGCTGCACATTTCAAGAAGAGACCTTCTCTATTAGGTGTCCGAAACACAAGGTAAGCAGGTGAATTGGTTTCACATGCAGCAAAGGACATCTCTGATCTAAAAGACTTCAGTGTCCTTGTAACATTCTACCACCTTCCTCACAACAGCGATGAGTGAAACTAGACAGCAGAGCACAGTTCCTCATCAGCACCATCTCTCAGGGCAACAGATGAGCCCTGAGCACATCTCACCCTTATCTGTCTGCTATTGACTGGGCAGCTCTCCACTGACAGGAGAAGTTAGTGAAGGGATGTTAATTAGACATTCTAGGCTCTCTCTCAGTCTTCTTGTTCCCCTTTAGGAGCCACAAACTTTAAAGAGCAGAAAAAAGAAGACATTTACAAGTGCTGCCTGATGATTATTACTCGATGGGGAATGGCCAAATTTTTCACTCAAGGTCTTGGATCTTGCCTGAAGCAGAAAGCCATCCAAAAAACGTAATTGCTCAAATCCAAGCTCATACTGACTTTTTTCAAATTCCTAAACCCAAAACATTCTGCATTATTTACTCACCCTTCATGTCATTCCAAACTCACTAACAGGAACATCTCTGAAGAATCTTTACACAGATCTTTTCCAAACAACCACTGCTCACCACTAATGTCAAGTACCAAAAAAGACCAAAGACCATTAAGAAGTCCATATGACTTGTGCATTATATTCAGAGTCGTTAAAACACAAGTGGGAACCAATAACGTCAATCCAGGTCAAGGTGCCATTTTGGTGCTATTGTAGATGACTGCTCAATCTGGTCCTGGTTATAATATGACTTCAAAAGGACTACTTCTCTGTGCTGTGTTTATGGTATTTTGTTCTTTTGGAGCTTGATAGAATTTTGTTGTATTTCAAAGAGCTGCATGAAGATTCTTCAGAATGTTTCCTTCTGTGTTCTACTGAAAAAAAAAGCATATGGGTTTGGAACAGCGCCAGAATTAAAGGAATAATCCATGTTCAACACAAATTAAGCTCATTTGATAACCCTTGTGTTATAATGTTGGTTAATATACACATTTTCAGTTAGCCGACTTGTTAGTTGTTGTGCCAGGCCAGTTGTGGTTGCAAAGGTGTTCTGAGTGTTTTTTATCATTACTCTGTGCAGTTGCTCAGGTGTTGTGGGCTGTTACGAGATGGCTACTCTATATATGGTGTTAGAATTTTTTTCACTGATGGCAAGTTACATGTCCAAGTTTAATACTTAGGGTTATTGTCTTGTTCAAATCCCTAACCTAAGCTCTCTGCAGTAATATTCATAATGCTCACCTTTGCTTAGATTCACATGCCTCTTCATTCTTTTTGTACTGTTCCATTTTGCTGGCCCATGCGCCACCTACAGGTAATCTGTGAACTACAACAGAGGTAGGTCAGGGAGAAAGAAAGGAAAAGAGATAGACTGAACAAGAAAGACCGAGAAAATGGGCATTGCAGAAAGAGAGAAAGAGAAATGATATTCAGCAGTAGTACAGCTTCCTCTCGGAGACAGCGAGACAAAACCTGGATGGAGATCAAAACACCCCGCCCTCCTCTCTCCCCCTCCCTTCCTCTTTCGCCCTCCCACGACAAAGGAAGAGGAGAACGGAATGAGAGAGAGACAGACAAACAGAGCAAAGAAGAAAGTTCAGAACAAGCAGAGCACACATCGGCAGGGGGATCTAAGGGCTTTGGGTCTCTGGGATGCCAATTTGCCGCTTTAATGAAAGCGATCGGTAGAGATATCACCCCTGTCCAGGTCTCCCAGGAAATCTCCTCCTCCTCTTCATCTTCCTCTTCTCCTCTGTGCTCACACGCACTCAGTGGCAAGCTCTGTTTTAGGTTCACGTGGCTTGAGAACATGACAGCAGCAATGCAGCACAGGCGATGCTTTAGGTCAGGCCGAAGGGGGGCAGCGCAGCAGAATGGCAAGAGAATGATGCCGTTCAAGCCCCATTTGAATTTCCTGACATGCCAGTTCTGGCCAGGCAGCAAAAGGATATTGTTAAAGTTTTGGGTACATTTAGGTTTTAGACTTCGGTTCTGCGTAAATAAAATGCTGCTTCCAATAAAATGTCGTTTTGCAATCTCTGATGATCACAGGAATCATCTCTAGTCACTGCACTGACTAGGTGACGAAAATGGTTAAATCCTATGCAAAGCATGCAGTGACGCAGATCATTTGAAGCACATCCGAAGTTATTACAGCTGTGATCGGATCACCCGAGATGGGTGATATTACCAGATGTAGCTAAACTTCCTAAGTTAAGCTTTTCGGGCTGAACTAACCGCCGATGTTTGTTTGGAACAGCAGAACGTTTGATGAATATCAAGGCAGTGCTTCCTTGTAAACACTGTAAAAAGGGCTGCGGCTGCGTCGTGGTGTGAGAGAGATGCTGATTACCCAGCCTGGTCTCATGTTTATACGTAGGTATTAATACGTAACATTTACAAGCACAAAACGTACACTTTTGTACGTTTTTATTAATGCTAAAACGTACAATTTAGATGTATTTCAACGTTTAAAACGTACAAATCGCTACGTATTTTTAGCTAAAAAAACGTAAAAATATTTACGTATCTTTTATATCATTAAGATATTCGTATCAATGCATTTTTTTTTTTTCATTTTATCAATAAGCGATTTAGATTTTTAGACCCCTTAACCTACCCCCAAACCTAAACCTACCCATTTTATAGCGAATATAAAAGGATATAAAACGCAAATGACCGAAATATGCAGGAAAATAACCATTTTAGTAAAAAAAAATAATTTAGTCGCTAATTCCACTCCTACCTATAAACCTAAACATTTCTGTACAGTATAAGAAAAACATGACAGACAGATAAATGCAATTACAATCATTTATTTATTGCAAACATGTCAAAAGCAGTACCAAAAGTAATCCAAATAATTATGCGTTGCACGCGCAGTCCTCTCTGGCAGAATACAGTAGGTTTGTGTGATCATTCAAACACACCTCACCAGAAACACGGCATGTCGCAATCTGTGACGAATGCAGGCGAGAGCCAATGAGCGTTCGATTATCCTGCCGTAAAACCTGTCGTTTGAAGCGGCAACATTTGAATTTGTAAAGAGCGTGTCAGTCAGCGCAGGCTTTGCTGCTCACAGTAACTGGACTCGCTGCTCGGGATGGAGAAGAAGATCGCTGAATAAAGGCTTGGATTTGGGTCTGTTCCTCGCAGTCGTATGGATTCGGAAGATTTGGATTACAGCGCACTAATAAAATTGTTTCATTTCGTATTTATGTTGTGTTTTTGGTGTATTTTATAGTTCTATTGTCAGTCACAGCATGTCGGAGAAAACGCCTTTTGTAGCCCATGGCAATCAAAGTAAACATTACATGACAAGTAAAGGTTAAACGATTGCAGAAATGTTATTTATTTCAAGGTTTAAAGTGAAGTCGTGTTTAACATTATGTAGGCATATTGAGCTGGCAGCAGAAATCACAACAAAACGAAATGTTATCATTTCATAAGTAAATTAGTAACGTTAAACAATTTAACAATGCAATTGAAAACAAGGTAATTCATATTACAACTAAAAACTAACAAAATCAATTCCGCGATTTCAATATTCATAAGGATTCATTTTTAGGTGTCAATACGTCAGTTTTGTACGTTTAAATTCTGAAAATACGTAAGTATTTGTACGTTTAGATGCGGAAAATACGTCAGTATTGTACGTTTTAGTGCCTGTAAAAACGTAAGTAAACGTACGTTTTATAGAACCACATTTTACGTAAAATACATACGAATTATCATGAGATCACGTTGGATTACCAGCGATGAAGAGCAAGAGGATTAGTTCAGAGATCAGAGAGAAAGCGAGGGATCGGACCCAGAGCAGAGGAGGGAAAGAACGAGCGCAACGGCAAGAAAAGCTGCGGAGGAGGAGAGATACATAAAACAAAAATAGCATCCATGCCAGCGCAATTAGGAAACGGTCCTGCAGCCTGTTTCAGAGAGCGGGCCGGCTGTAGATTGCTTTCATATCGGCGCAGCGGCCACTGCTCCGGCGCAGGCAATTAGAGAGCTCATGCAATGCGTGTGATGCACATAATGCGCATAGTGCGCCTCTGCTGCCGCACATAACACACGTCACGTGTCATGCACAGATTACAGATATATAACAACAACAATAATAATAATAATATCGTATGTATAATATATATGTCAATAGTAATACAAATAGCCTAATATTAACTCAATAATAATTGCAAAGATGTTTTTAAAATGATAATAATAATAATAATAGCTGTTATTATTATTATTATATTAATTGTGTTATTGTTGCCATTATTATTATTATTATTATTATATTAAAATATTTTTGTAATTATTACTATGAGTTAAATATTGTGTAAATTAAATATTGTGCAAATTTGTGTGCATCACATCTTTGTCTGTTTTACCGGTTATCTGCTAATTTTTTGGTTAATATCTTGTTTAAAATGTAATTTTTTTTCATTTAATTTAATTTAAATAAATGAACAAACAAGAAATAAAAAAAATAAATAAATAAAATAAACAATCAAATCCCAGCATTTTATTTGTATGGCGAGAAAATGAACAGGATAGAAATTAGGCATGGGAGCTTACATGAGTAACACATTTTCATGAAGAATTTTGACATTTTAAAACTAATGTTGATGTTTCTGTAATTGTATTAAATATGTTATTTAATATTGTTATTTAAAATTGTATAATGTAATTGTATTATTATATGTTTTAAAGTGAGACAAATCAACCAATGCCACAAATTCATTAATCCATTGCTTATACTGTTATTTTTTGTTGTTGTTGTTTTCCCTCCAAAATGATGTCACTTTCTGGAGGATGATGTCATATAGGAACTGGCTTTTGTTAGTTAAAGAAATATTACAAAAGACTAACAGCATGGAAAGTTGACGATGCCGTAAAATAAAAAAGTATTGTTTGCAACATTTCCATTTGAGTAGGGACAAATAAACACATTGTAACCTAAATAATTAAAAATTCACTTCACTTGTGATAAATGTTACTAATATGACTCTCCTCTTTAAAAACTGTTAATTCTGTATATTAAGACATATGGGGGGAGGGGATATGGGTTGGCTTGAAGATGTATTATGACCCAGCAATAGACATTTCTCATTCCTCTTAGACATTTCAAATGGTTCTGTTTTTCAGGCAATGTAATATCCCGGTGCATGAGGACTGGTGAATGTCACCTGTGCAGTAGAACAAGGACATGCGTATGCCTGTGTGCTGCGAGGCACTGTGGACACCCAAAACACAGAGAAAAACTGGGGCTTCAGTCGAAGCACAAAGATACTGTAGCAATACCGACCCAAGATCAGATCATCTCTGAATCCATCCATCCGACCCGGTCCAGACACAACAACCTTCATGACCAAACGCTGAAAAAGGGAAAGACGCTTTTGTTATGAATCCGAATGTGCCATTCTTCCATTTTATTCCGTGTTCTGGAGCGGATGTTATCAGTCGGGGACACCTGGTGGCAGATTTGGCCTGCTGCCCCGAGCACTGGCTGGCACAGACGCATTTCCGCTGTGGAAGGGGAATTGAAATTTGAAGATGTCATGCAACATGCACTCACTGGATGTATTTCAATGGACACTTACATGTTACAAAGAAGAAGAAAAAAATTAAATTGTACATGGTGTGCTTTACAGGTCTAAATAGTCTGATATCATAAAAAAAGAACATAAATGCATTATTTTAATATATTGCTACGCCAAGATGTAGGCTTATTTTCATGTGCATTTGAAGACAAAACAGCACCACTGAGATGTCCAACTGTGCATCCGGATGACTAAAATATCCTGCGTTCATGTTATGTGTATCAGCTGCTCAGCATTAAGGAATAGTTCTCCCAAAAATGAAAATTCTGTCATCATTTACTCGCCCTCATGTCATTCCAAACCTGCGTTTCTTCCGTGAAACAAACACAAAAGTGAAATTTCAGACTCTTATTTACGTTTCAGTCTGTATATGTCATAGTATTTATGGTGCATTTTTGTCAGTCCCCGTTGACTTTCATTTTTTTGGAAAAGGGCAGCTTGGACATTCTTCTAAATAACTCAAATGCACAAAGTCAGTCATATGGGTTTGAAACGACATCAGAACAAGTAAATAATATCAAAATTGTAATTTCTGGTTGAACTATGAGCTCACGAAAGCCTCAGTAATGTGAAACGATCTATACCACAAACAGATTTTACATTTCTGAAATGATGCAGAAGACAACGTGAAAACTGAAAGTGAGAATTCATAGTCATTTAATCAGATGTATATGTGACTAACATATTATAGCCTTCACTTCACTGCAGTATAACAGGTAAGAGCGCGCATATAGAGATGACAGAACCATCACGTAATTATTTGATTCCTGATTCTAAGTAATTGTGTATATAAGTATTTGATGCTGTTTAAATGTAAGATGTGATGTACTATTATAATTGTGTATAGTATTTCTTAGAGATGTTTATTTTCTATAAAACAAATATGTTATTGCTTACAAAAGTTATTAAAACACTGAATCAAAAGGACTTTTTTGGAATTGTATTTGTTCTCAGCTCATACTGCGATGTTTCTGAGATGTTTTTCTATGTAACGCTGCCATGAAGTATAATAGATGTCTGAACATGAACAGTTGTCTTTGGAATTGAGATCAAAATCACGTTTTGTTTTCTTTCTGGGCGTCTTTGTTGGCGCTCAACACAAGTAATTCAGTGCTATTATCCTTAAAGATGTCTCTGTCTCACAGCCTGTGGTCTGAAATTACATCTGGAGGCATACGGAAACAGATCTATGCCTGCTTGCTTTCTTAACACCTTTATTTACTCTGCTGGGTGTTTCAGCTGGTTTAGCAAGGTAAAAACAAAACCATTCTGTTTCAGGATAAAGAGTTTTGCACAAATGTTCAGCACATCTGAACATCTCACCACCGGCACACATGACTTCCTATATTAATTTCTGGAAATTATACATTTTTTTAGTATTAAAATGAATATTCATACATTGTAATGTCTCACAGCATATAAAACTAGTGAAAAATGGCATTTGCACGAATGCACTTAATGGATGGCCCTGGAATAAATGTAAAAGTAGTTCTGCAAGTGTAGAAACAACACCTAAACATTATAAGGGAGACCAAGGCTAGTTGCACATTTCTTTACTACTTCTATACACAGATACTGTAAATATTTCCACTGTTACGTATATAAAACTCTTTGTCCTGAGGACACAGTTCAAGGTTTTAGCTAAAATTTGCATTCATTATATAACTGACTCTTGTCTGAATGTATATCAGTGTATTTTTATTGTGTTAACTTGGTTATACGACAGCTATAGCAAAAAAGGTATTAGTAGGGCTGGGTTTTGACACAAATTTCACGATTTGATTCGATTCTCATTCACAAGCTTGCGATTCGATTCGATTCAATATCGATTATTTTGGATATATATCAGGTACAGTACAAGCCAACTTTTCTCAAGGAAAAAAAATCTCTCAACTAATGCTGTAAAATATACATGTGAGTCAGTTGGTACTACATTGCTATAATATTGAAGGTTAAAATTAATGAAGTTTTTACAATAATAACGTTACAGTTACATAATAATATTTCTACTTCAGTTCGATTTTTTAAATATAAACATTTAAATGGTGGCTGTCATAAAAACTTGATGGATTTATTCAAACATAAATTAAACATTCAAGAACAGTAAAAAATATAATGAATATGTTATATGTTGCATACATTAAGCAAAATGCCCCTCTCTACAGTTTATTTTTCTATATGACTAATGAGTTTATGGTCACCGAATATGTTTGTTTTTTTTCTGAGGTAAATGTGACGTTACGTGACATTGTTTTATATTGACGTCTTTGCGCTGCTGAAACACTGATTGAGCGATTACTTGAGACAGGATACGGATTGTAAAGTTGTACTCTTTCTTTTAACTTACCTTCGGATGTTTAGTAATGTTTATTTTGTGCTGAAACTGGTATTAATGTGGAGGAGATGATCAGTTCACGTGCGCCTTGCGCTGCCGCATCTGTTGATCGAGGCGCTCCACATTAAAACCCTCGTCCCTCCCTCGGGTCATTTTGACCCAAAAAGTTTTTTCAAAAAAATTCTAAAAATCGTGTGTTGATCGTACCAGTCCAAGATTTCTTTACTTCTGTCACACTTGCACCGGGGATACACACACAAAAGTTTGAGTGGATTTGTGGAGCTTAAATGGGTGCAATAAAAAAAGTAACAAAAGTGTCCCTGGCGGGTCATTTTGACCCGCATAGGAATGAATGGAATTTATGAGAAAACTGAATTTTTCATTACATTTGATTTTTTTTATATACAAAATCGGAGACAATCCAGTAAAGATTTATACCCAAATGAAGGGCTGAGACTACAGAATATCCCCAATGCAGAAAAAACTCACATACAAACACACACATGGTACACACACGCTCATAGAGCACATTGTAATATTTTTCATGTTTCTGCTGGGATATGACTGACATTTTTTCATTTTTTTGACTTGACACAGTTAGATTTGAGTGATGTGGTGGAGACCAATGAGTTTATATCATATTTATAGTTTTAAAAATATATTATATATTTATTTCATATTTATGAGATAGTATGAATATACATGTTTAGGTTATAATTCAGTAAAAAAAAAAATTTATTATTATTTTTTTTTTTACAAAATATGGATTTTGTAATGTTTCAATATATATTTTAAACCATAAACAACCAAATTGAAGCCTTATGATTATCTCATTTCTCATGTTTCACTTGTTTTGCTCAGTTAAAAATCTCCATAGGGTTCTATAGGCCCCTCTTGTGGCTGCAACCATAAAATGCAATTTTATGTAATTTGTCCCCACTAGATGGAATCAGAGACACTCAGTGACTCAATTCCAAGGCCATCTGTTGGTTTTTGATGAAACAGGACTGAAATTGTCTTTCTTTGTTTTTTTTTTTGGTGAAATAATGTACAAAAACTGCTTATTTGCTTATGTTTTCTTAAAATATCCAGAATAAAAGGTAAATATGATAAAAGTCACCAAAAAATAATAGAAAAACCTACATAAAAAATTAGAAAAATGTTCCAATATAAGCTTTCTGGACCAAAAATAAAATTAGTGTCATTTTTGGCCTTCGGGTCATTTTGACCGGCGAGGGACACTTTTGTTATAGGTTCGGGAGGGACGGATGAGGGTTAAACAGCGCCAAAACGACATTTATTGTTTAAATACTGCAATACAATGGACAGAATTTGAAACTTTGTTTCATATTAACAGTACCAAAGCACAACGCTTATTGCGTTTTATTGGATGGGAAGTACCCTTCAATGTTCCGTCCATTAACTGAAAACAGGCTAGACTAATCGATTCTTGGGATTTAAGAATCGATATCGTTCCGTAAAAATGAGAATCGATTAATATCGAGATATCGATATTTTTTACCCAGCCCTAGGTATTAGTGGAATTTTAGTTGGGATGTTTGAATTTAGATCTAACTGTATTAACGTTCAAAAGTTTGGGGCCTCCTAGCTAACAATTTTTGGTTCCTAGAACGTTCCCAGAGCTTCAGTTTTTGGTTCCCAGAACGATATTTTTTATGGTTTGTTTTGGGTTAGCCAGGAAAGTTTTCTTAAAGGAAATAGAGCGTTCATTTTTGGTTTGTAGAACGTTATTCTAACATTAATCTAACGTTATTATAACGTTCCAGGAAAGTTTTCTTAACGGAAATAGAACGTTAGATTTTGGTTCCCAGAACGTTAATTTTGTTAATGTTTCTTTTTGGTTAGCCAGGAAGGTTTTCTTAACGGAAATGGAATGTTAGTGTTTGGTTTGTATAATGTCATTATAACCATTAGGGAACATTCTCTAGACGTTTTATTTATTTATTTATTTATTTTTGGTTAACAACCACCATGCAACGTTCTGTGAATGTTATTTTATGGTTAGAAAAAAAAACCCCTAAAAAGAACATTCCCCTAATGTTAGTATTTGGTTCCCCAAAAAAAAAATAAAAAAAAAATGTTACCGAACGGGAACCAAACACTAACATTTGTTGTGTCGTCATGTTCATCAAAACTTAATTTGATCAAAAACATATGTTGTGAAATTTTAGAACAATTCAAATAACTTTTCTGTTTGAATATATTTTAAAGGGTTAGTTCAGCCAAAAATGAAAATTATGTGATCATTTACTCACCCTTGTGTTGTTCTATTGCCATATGCCTTTTTTTCTTTATCAGACCAAGAAAAAAAAAGATTTTTAAAATGTCCCATGCATGCTCGTCCATATAATGGCAGTGCATGGAGATCAACAGCAAGCTTTTAAAAATGACTCAAAAGTATCACACGTGACAAGTGTCATATATTCCAAGTGTTCTGTGGGTATATGATAATGTATGGTAAGAAACAAACTGAATAACACTATCTAATGAATATCCTTACTTAACCGTTGGTCTCTTTGTGCGTTCAATAGACTCTATTAGCGCAGTAGTTCACTCCGACTCACCCAGGAAAAGCACACAAGTTGTGCAAAAAAAAAAAAATCAGGATGAATAAAACCGCAGACAACAGAACGAAAGATTTCATTACAAAATACTTTTATTTACATTCTTAAGAATAAATCAAACAGAAGACAACAGGATATGCTATGTGTGCGCCTGCCAGTTTAAACATTTCGTCTTTGAGACTCGATCACAAGCACTACAGAAAAGTTAGCGTACAAGTAATGAATGTCAATTGCAAATCTCACGGTTACTGTGAATAGAAAACATGTCTAGTAATCAGAGTTCGTACATAATGGTGACTAGAGATGAAATATAAATAGCTGCAGGCAGATCCTCATACCGCTATCAAATCTTATCTTTGGATAAAGATGTTAACGCTGATGTCTTTGCTTTAGAGTCAATACTTTAATAACATTCGACGCAGATGAAATCATTTGGATTTACTAACTCCAATGGAAGACTGGTTTGAAAATACAAACTAAACAGTGGATTCAATGGCAACCGGTGGGCTTCTTTTTGTCTGTAGGTGACCGAGCAGCCCACTCACTAAATAGCGCAAATGGACACAAATCCAGTGAACAATATCACACTGTGACTGCTGGTAGAAACCGTTTTTTGTTCTGCTGACTTCTTCATATGGTTCAACTACTGCAGCAGAAGCAGCACGACAAAATGTACCATCAGCCCCTCTTTAAATACTGCTCACCTACAGCGTCAGACAAATCATAAATACACTTATTTAAAAAAAAAAAAATATATATATATATATACACATAGAAAAAGAACTTTTATAAAGCCTTAATTAAATCAATATGTAGAATTCATCCCAGACGATAACATGCTGTAAGTAGGAACTACTTGATTCAACTCGCGGTTGGCATCGCAATGTTCATTTCTCTCAAAAGGTGCTAATAGTAAAGCAAAGCTCTACAATACGTGTCCATCTCAACCACGGACCAGCGTCCAGTTCACCAAATCACCATCTAGTGGCCAAAGTCAGCACTGACAGTGCTTCGTTTCACAAAGCCATTTCACAGACAAAAAAAAAAAAACTCTTCAATTTCTTTTAGGGCAGATAAATATCAAAAAGGTCAAGAAAACACTGTGTTTGTGTCTGTTATTGCCTCTGCATCTCGTCATTGGTTTTGAATACGCTGTTATGAATTGTTGGGGAGAGTCGAAACGTCTTGGCGTTGTTGGATGATATTGACTGAGGCCTGAAATAAAGAGCGTGTTGATTCTCGATTGAGAGATCTTGGGGTGTGTTTGTAAAAGTGCTCTTAAGTGTGTGTGTTGGTGTGTGGTCGGCTAGGTGGACGTGACGGTCGTTCCGCTGCCTAGTTTGATGATCATCTGTTGGCAGTCGTGGAGGGTGCGTTTGTCGCCTAGTTTCTCCAGCGTCCGGGCGGCGTCCACCAGCATGCCCACCCTCTGGCCCGGAGCTGACAGGAAGGAAGGGGGCAGGTAGCGGCACGCCAGCATCACGGCCTCTGCCTGCTCTCGCTGGCCTGGATGCATCTCACACTCCTCTGTGCAATCACACACACACACATACAGTAAATGTAAGTAGGGTGCAAACTAACAACAACTACTCGCCTATTGGCTGATAACTTCATTAGGAACTGCAACACAATTGCATGATTGAAATTAATTTGGAATAATGACAGAATGACGTTACTCAAATCAAAATTGTCAACTAGTAATGTTGTGACCTGCACTTTTTTTTTTTTTTAAACACCATGTTTTTCCTCATTGGAAAATACCATATAATGTATATAACATGATTATATATGCATAATTATGTTTTTATTCAGCAATATGGTAAAACATTTCTTAAACAATAAATAAAATAAATAAATAACTAACCCCATGAATGGTAGTATTAATATAATATAATATAATATAATATA